ACGCCCGGTCCACATAGACTCAAAGAGAGAGAGATGAGTCCACGGCACAGTGCAATGCCCGGTGCACCGCACAGTACCACTGGCTGACCCCGCAGCACTGGCCCGCGCATCAGCCACTCAGCCAAGGAAAAATGATGTGTACACCCAGGGAGTGTACACAGGAGAGTGAAAAAAACGCTTTCCAGGCATAGAAAAATTCCCAGAAAATTCCTAAATAAACTAGGTACACCCTAGATCCTACCAAAGCATTTACATCCCAATTTCATTATTTCACTTTCCAGAAATAATTTCCAAAAGTTATATTCCACATAGCATTTTCATATTGAATCCTTGATAAATCATAACTTTTTCATCCTAGCTCCGAATTAGTTGATTCCACCACCAAAATTCCTCGAGATTCAAGCTCTATGTGACCATACCATTTGTTCCATTATTTGGTGCCCACTTAAATTCTAGTTTGATTGCTTTTCCTTTTTATAAATGCTAGTTATAGTCGTAGCCACCACAGTAGTAGTACCTGACCCGTATATTCGCATATGGGTGTACACCATGACACATACACGAATATATCCATACCCAATCACCTAAAATGGGTAGATGTATATACATACACGGTTATGCCCAATACCCGGGTATACACCTATGTATGGCTAACCCTAGCAACCTAGTTACTCAGTTCCACTTAACCATGGGTATATACATATGCATGAGCATATATGCCGCTAACCCTATCCATAGCCTAGCTCCTCAACTTAGTCCTAGGCACATACATATGCATGTGCGTATGTGCCACTAACCCCGGTGAACCTATAGAGGCCATACAAGTCATCTATGATGACTTGGTCAGGCTTTCTCTTTTAGGTTTACATAATAGTGAAGCCTAATAATGTGGTCTGGTTTTCCATCAAACCACCCACCCACCTTAACCTAACCCGTAGAAGCCCTACCTTATGGATGGAATACCTCTATCCAAGCCTTACTTCAGATTGACATAATAGTGATAACCTAGATAACAACCCATCACCAATAGGACCAACCCATCTAGGATCGTTTGTTTGTTTATGCTTGTTTTACATGCTTTGCTTGTTATTTTCCTTGTTTGTCGACGCTAGACCGCGTAGGATAGAAGACGTGAGAGAACCCGATGGAGTCCAGAAGACAGGAACAGGAGAAACAGGAATCGGACGAGGATATAATCATCAGCAAATGGCGGCAAGTCCTAACACCCACCTAACCCCTCCCTCTACAATACATACCACCTCCCTCAACCACCTCTTTCCCACCACTACCACATGCTAACCTCCACCATAAACCCTCCACTATCCATCGCCACTAAATAATAACCCAACCTACATTACTTGAAACCCCTCATGAATTAATGAAACCATAATTATGAACTTGATTATGATAATATGATAAGGTTATTGTTACCTTGATATAACATGAGTATTATGAACTTGAGAATAATAACTATGGAACTTGAATGGTAAAACTTGACTAAACCACGACATGGGGCGAGTAGGGGTAATTTATGGAGGTAAATTGCCTTGGTAGGAATACCTGGAGAGGATTCCTGTGGGAGATACTCGCCTCGGTCACATAAGGACCGGTTCGTAGTCCCTCTCACCTAGTGAGATATTACATACAGCCATATGTCTATATGGGTAGACTTGATCTCACACTCTGTTAGATAGAAGTATAATTTCTACTAGGAGGCCGGTGTAGGCAGCAGAATATCAGGAGCCGACATGGGGATAGGTTTTCTTCCGTGGTCCGGTTGGCGTGGATGCTATGTGATCTTCCAAGTTAAGCTTTTGATTTTTGGCCGCGTTTGAGCCCTTGATTATTTTTTGCCATGTTCTAGCCATGTTATTTTTTTGTGATGATTTGGTATCATCATGTTGGGATGATTAGGTATCATCCTGGTTTTGTGTGTTTTCAATCCCTGAGAAGCCGTGGTAGAGTTATATGAAAATCTATGATAGCTCCCAAGCGGGTACGGGATCTCGTTAGACCTGTCTAAGTCATGACGATGGTGTCAGACTGTGCCTATCATGTGGGGAAATTTATACACCTCTGTAGAGTTTATTGAATCTATTCGGATAGCCACGTCCTTGGAATGGGCAAATGCTAGAATGGGATACTATGATTAGACTTATACGACTGTGATAATCTGGTAAAGTGTATTTTACTAATTTGGTAATTATAATGAACAACGAAAACTAGTGAGAATAGTAATACTCTGCCAGGATCCAACCTATAAATATAACTACTTCACCCTACTACTTTCACCTCAACCACCATAACCACCTCCACATATAGCCTTTCCTTTCCACCTCCTTCCACCAAAGTTTAGGGCTTGCTGAGTACTTTATGTACTCAACTCCCTTCATTCTATGTTTTTAGGAGTTAAGCTACAAGAGGACATACCATGATGGAACTTCTAGAGCTACGCCAGGATAGGATATCGAGAGTATACTCGAAGACAGAGCCGTATGAGAGCTATGCTAGGACTACGACGATAGGAGTATAGGAATACGCCTAAGGAATAAGTCTAGGGATACGTCCATACTCCAAGCTACCTGTAAGAATGGAGCCACGTTGACATAGGACCGCTGTCTTAGAACTCTGATATACGATATAAGGCTAGTGGCCCAAGCTATGTAAACCCAAACCATGTAACTTGTTTTCCCCATTAGCAATAAAAGTATGGTTTTTGATATCAATCTTGTACGAATTGTGCGTATTAGCTATTGATCCAGGGACTGATACATGATGCACAGAGGACCCTAAGTTAGGGGCCCGACATGTGGTGAGCTAGGCAGCCTTTTCCCCAGCCGAGATAAGCGTGGGCAGCCACGGCGAGCACGAGATGAGCACGGGCGGCCTCCGCCGCGGCTGGCCGCCGCGAGCTCCGCGGTTGGAGCGCGTGCACTCCGCTTCGGTGATTTTTTTAGAAACTGCGGTGACGAGCAGATGGAGGGGCGACGTTTGGGCTGGTGTCGCAGCCCACCAGAACCGTATGGATGGACGGACGCCCTATTCCAAGAATTCGTTTACGTATGTGTTGTTGTCTCGCATCGCACTGGGAGAAGCTAAAAGAAGATATCCTTTAATATAACTACAGTTAGAATATGACGATGCTTACTAATTAACACTTTAATGCATAAAAAAGCAGCATATTTATCAAGCAAAATAGAAATGTTACCTTAGAAATTTCTTCTAATATTTCCAGATGCTAAGTTAAGTTATTGATGCTGGCATCAATATCAATCTCATCTAATAATTGGTCAATACACATAAAGTTGTCAAACCATTTAATTTTCTTGAGGATATTACAGACCTCAAATGACTCTTCAATGGTTTCAACTTTTGTATCACAAGAATCAGTAAATTACCAAGTTGAGGTAATCCATCTTGACTGAATAGGCTCAGGCAGCACTTCCATAGCTGCACCGTACTGTTTTTTTTTTTAGGAAATGCACCGTACAGAGATTGGATTCCAAATTCAGAGTTCTCAAATCTGTACTCTAAAGATTGGGGGAAAAGGCAAATTATATATCGATCCATGCAAATATACACTTACTTGACATATATACTCATGTGAAGTCATGAGTGATCAACAGCAAAGGGGCAATTACATGTACGTGGTACTGGCATTGAAGTTCTTAAGTATAGTATTTGAGATCGTTTACAATGGTTGGAAAAGTACCATGGTACCTCCAAGTAATTTCATCTTTTCTATTTCCTAAGTAATTAATTGAGAAATATATTATAGAGGGTATTTTAGTAATTGAGGTCACCGCTGCGCTTCCGACTGCCAAGCGAGACCGGCCGGGACAGGACACGCGCAAGAGCTGCGACGCTGGCAAGAGAGGCATCGTTTTCAGAGTAGACTGGAGCAAGCGTACCAATCGTGCCTCTGTAGTAATTTACATGTATTAATACACAGCAAAATACCAGCTACATCGTCATATATGTCCACGCGAAGGGAAAAGGAAAACAAGAACAGACAAGAGTACAAGGGGAGAAGAGCAAGAACAACTATTCTAGCTTGCAGTCGTCGTGGTCCATGAATGACGAGTGGATGGAGGCTGGAGCACGCAAGCGTACCAAATCGTTGTCTCCGCGCAACAATCCCGTGAACTCTACGGTCTCCGTCCCGGCTCGAAGGCGTCTCCTCTGTCAGGGTGTTGCAGAGACCTGGCGGCTTGCCGTCGGGGCGAGGCGACAGCAGCGGCGCCCATATCTCGGCAATGTTTGGGAAGTAGCACGCCGAGGTGTCCAGCGGGCGTCCAGGCACCGTCCAGCTGCGCGACTGCCGGCACGGGCACGAGCTCTGTCCGCGGCGCGTCGAAACCTATGAGCCCGCCGGGGTGCTGCAGCTGCGGCTCCGTGCACGCGGCCCGGGCGGTGGCCTCCAGAGCACGTTGGTCTCGCGGCGCAGGCCGGTTCCGAACTCGGCGAGGCCGCAGAGGTAGGACTCTGCGGGCGGACGGCGACGGCGACGGCGGCTGCAGGGCTTGTGGGTGTCCTTGGATAACAATACTAAAATAACTGATTTACCCTTATTCAAAAATAAAATAAAAAATAGACGTTGTCCCACCTATTTTGGTACTGCCCTACCTAATTGGATAGTATCCCCACCTATTTAGTACATCTAAGTACTTTCAGTTGGGTGTCTCCTATTTTTTTACCTTCTGGTCTTGTCCAATGAATAGTCTATGTCTTTTCCAATCATTGTAAAATTTCTCATATGCATGGTCATTTTGGGTCCACACGTACATATTGAAGGCCAGCAGCTATATGAAGCTGATAAAACACATACTGTAGTAGATTGAAGCTAAAAACTTCTAAAGCAGATATGCACCTCCAGAATATGTTTATGTGTTGAAAAAAAGGTATTCATTTCCTTTGGTCCCTAGTTAACTGCTACTACTAAAGTACATCTCAAGTATCTCATCCAATCTTCTATATATTGTCATTCAAATTTGTCAGTACTATTTGCTAATACAAAAATCACTAAAGCTCCGGTTCATCTGGCTTCGGAACCTCCTAATGAACATGTCACAAGCCTCATCGATGTCATCGTCCATGTTGAACTCCAGACCTTCAACCTCCCGCTTGCTCCTTATGATCTCGATGACGGATGGCTCATCGAGTGCGTCAAGAATATCAAGATCATCGTGGTCATCGTCATCGACATCCTCCTCATTCTTGTAACAATGATCATCGTCGAAGAGGGAATTGGTCCAGTCGGGGTAGCCATGGTAATCGTCCTCAAACATGGCCACCTCAAACAGACCAGGATGAGCCCTAACACCATGATCACCGCCAGCTGGCTCCTTGCTCCTCACCATCGCCTTCCGCATCGTGAGAGCCTTGCTGCGGTGCTCCACCCTAGCCTGCTTCTCCCGGGTGTTCGATGGGGTAAGCCCATGGATCTGGCGAGAGATCGCACAGACCATCGCCAACCTTCGGCGCAGAGAGGCAAGAATGATGAGCTTTGTTCTTAGAGCGTCAGTCTTGCTCTTGACGGACGTGACCGCCTTCTTCAGGAGGTCGGGGGCGCTCTTGCTTATCCTCATATTTGATGTGGAGAGCTTATGATGGTGCTTGTCAAGATGATATACTAAGGACATAGGAGTTGCTAGCTGTGCCTCAAGTTTTGTATGAGTGAATAATATGCCAGTGAGATAAGCTTTGTAGTTGAGACTTGAGAGGCATGGAACTTGTCTTGAACCCCCATGAGAGTTCTTATAGACACGGTGGAGCTAGCTTAGCCCCGAACTGTGCAAAGCTTGAAACATTTTTTTGTGTGGAAATGTCACGATCAAGCTTTTGGCAGTTTTTTAAATAATATATAAAAATTGTTGGTGCCTCAAAGCATGAAAGAAACGTTGAAGAAAACAAAACATGTGGACTAGGCACTACAATTAAGAACTGAGCATTGAGAGTGGAAGCAAAACTACTAAAAAGTTCCATGGCAAGGTTAAAGGTATCAAAGTGGGAGAAAATCAGAAAATGACACGGTAAAATAATCCCAATTATTACATTAGATTGAGAAAAATGACACCTGTCCTCCGATCTGGATCCCGTTATTACCTTTTTGGTTGCCGATGATATGATGGCTGTTCTTCCCCACCATATAATAATATACCAAAGGTAACTTCACCTGGCAACCAAAACGCACAAAGGCGGACGGTGATGCTTTTCTTGGCCGTTTCCGTGTGATTCATGCTCTGTCACATACCCAATGGGCAAGGTAGGCTCATGGGAGGTCCTGCGTGCCAAATTGCCAATCATGAGTTCGCTAATTGGCTCGCAGTGCCGTCGGCTTTCTTACGTTTTATTTTCTCTTTGCAGTGCGCCAAAGCCGGGATTTTTCTCGTGTGCTGCCGCGCCTTCGCTTCTCTGTGGGCACGATCGCTTTGCCGCTCGTCAACACGAAAAGGCGCGGCGATCGCAGATTTCGTCTTTTCCATATGGAATCGCGCGCTGGATGTCACGGCGAAGCCGTTGCTTCGTGTGCTACCGTGCTGTGGAGAGAAAGCTGTCTGAGTAGTACTTCAGTCTACAACCCCACGTTCCCACCGTGCGCGAGCTGTGGCAACTAACCACGACACGGTGTGGCTTAGCTTTCAAAGTTGTTGTTGTTCTATTTTTTTCGTGAACCGTCATCAGTCATGGGCCCGACAAGTAAACATCAATAAGATCCCCTGCTGGTGGTGAACTCCATATATTATTATACGAAAAGAAAAGGCAAGAGCTAAAGTACAAGGCAGCCGGCCGGCGAGCAGTTACGGATCAATTAAATAGGAGTGTGTGAAACACGGGTCTAATCCATGCCAGGGAGATTGCACAACTAGATCGAATAAAGATTTTAGGAAACTATAAGGCTCCTCATTAACAAAGACGATGGGCTAAAAGAGAGGGTGTTTCCTCAAATGCCTAGCGATTTTCAGAAGCGCTCGTTTCATTCAAGACACCCCGCCTCTAAAATCAACTAATATGCATGGTAGGCCTCTTAAGTCTAAGGTCTGCCTCTAAAAATGATGCATATCTTAATTCTAGCCCAACCCATCAAAAACTCTCTCTCTCACATGACTCCTTCACGCCACACCTAGCTCTTTATCTCTCTCATGGCTACTCACAAGTCTCTCTCTCTCTCTCTCTCTGCGCCCTTCGCCGCCACCGACTACTCACTTGCGCCCTACGATGCCACTGAGAGTTCTCGTCTACGTCCTCCGCCACTACCACCTTCTCGCCGCACCGCCCTCTCAAAGATCTAGTGAGCCCGCTTCTCCCACCCTGGCCACGGAGACCCAAGATATGATCCGGCAAGCTCGTGACAAGTCCGCTCTCCAACCTCTCCCTTGAGCCTTGAGAACTGACGAGCCGCATATGGATGGTCCAATCTCGTTTCCCTTCCCTGTCCTAGCGGCAAATCCATATGGGTTTCATCTCCAACGAGACCACCTTCTGGCCCACCGACCATGGAGCACATGTCCCTGTCCTACGAATCCTGCCTCCCTCCAACCAACCTGGCGGTGGATACGTAGGGTCTAGATCTCTAGAGAGCTTGCCTTCCCCGCCCTGCTGACCTCAAAGCTTGTTCCCGTCCATGGCCACCCCCCTAAGCCTGGCGGTTGATACATAGGGTGAAGCTTGTGACAAGTTGGAGGGCGATTTTACCCATGTGGATATTTAGGCTGAGTTGTTCATGTAATGTCACATCATTTTAAAAATATCAAGTGCCTATACAAAGTGGAGATGGCTAGTACACAACTTCGGGGTTAGGCTCTCATTTGAGTGGTTAGAGTTTTTCTTAGGGCTAGATATAGGGTGGCAGGAAGTGGCTCTTATTTCTTCAGCCATTTGCCTTCCAGAGATTTGGTTTGCTAGGATTTAACTTCATGATGTAATCTCCTTCAAATATTGAGCTTTTTCTTTTTCAGGATTTGTGTGTTGAGAAACTATTCTTCTATCGAACAATAAATACACACAGAGATCACAATATGAACACATAGAAATTGGGAGGAAACGAGAGCTCTTTTAGAGCATCTCCGAGAGTATCTTAAATCTCCTCCCAATCCTTGTTTTTTAGCAAGATTGGAAAAAACCCCTCTCTAACAACTTATAATCCATTCTCCAAATCTTTTAGCACTTGGGAAAAACTCCACCAACCCGCGTAAAGCTGCTCGCCGTAGACATTGCGCATATCTCCTCCGACGCGGTTTCCGTGCGGTCTTTTAGCGCGGTTTCCCCGTCGACTTGCTCCACGCCATCAAGGCCAACGTCTTCGTCGTATGCTCGGCCAGCAACAACGGCCCGGACCTCGGCACCGTCACACCGTGGATCCTCACCGTCGCCGCCAGCTCCGTCGACAGGGAGTTCTCGGCCTTCGCGGTCTTCAATCACACTAGGGCATGAGCCTCTCGGAGAGGTGGCTGCATGGGAAAGGCTTCTACCCGATCATCAGCGGCGACGAGAACAGTGTGCAATGTATTGACCATGCATGCGGCGGCGGAGAAGGCCACCGGGAATGACCTCCAGGCCAATGGCCGACCAGCACGTGCTCCCGGCCGTGCACCTATGCCAACGGGCCCGCCCTCTGGGCGTACATCAAGAACACCAAGTAGGCCAATGGCTACTGGGAGGTGGTGCCGGCGGCCTGTGGCTGGGAGGTGGTGCCGGCCTGCTGAAGGAAGGAGGCGGCGGCGACAGCGTAGGTTTGCGCATCCGCGAAGACTCAGGGAAAAAAGTACCGCAATAAAAAAACCAAGTGGGATCAAATTTTGATTTTTTTTTAAAGTGAAATATTGGATACTATTGGAGATGACCTTCTTTTTTTCTCCTATAACTTTTTGGGAGTTGGAAAACATGAAATTTTTGGGAGTAAAATTTAGGATACTCTTGGAGATGCTCTTTCTTTCTTTTGCATAGAGTACAGAGAAGAAATAAGTTGCAATCACTGGGACTCTCTCTCTCGGCATCTTCCTGAAAATAAGGCTCGTTTTAAGACAATTTTTTAGGCAATTTCCACTAGAAAATTTGCTTCTATCCTTACTTGTAAGGCTTCGGCATGTTCCTTGTGTCATTACTAAGGTCGATATTGCGTACGTGTGTTCGTAGAGGTGAGTGTGCGTGCTTGTTGAACGCGTCTGTACTTGTACTTGTGTAATTCGCAAAAAAAAAGAAAGAGATGCTTAGGTCGATAACTTTTTTGTTCTGTGAAAAAATTTGGGACTGTCATGGGTCCCCTATTTGGTCCTTTAGATTCGCACCTCATTCCTTGCTTCTTGCTACTAACTGAATATGCATTTTACAAGACATAGTATAGACAAAGAACAAGTCCTATAAATTCATATAAAACTTAGGAACATCTGGCCATTAATTTAGTAAACTCTGAACATCTTCAACAATAATAATCACCAGATCCATTATATTTTCTAAATATATTACCCACCTCTATTATTATGGAAGTACTCAGATAATCATTTAAACATATATCTGAAATACCTAGCTTTGCCATCATGAAAATACTCCACTGTAACCCGTAAACCTATGTCTAAGTTACTATTGGCATATGCAATTAGAAAAATAGTATGAATAACCCCTAATTTTTTTTCTAAAATTACCCACATGCCATTATTAAAATTCATATGAAGTAACCCATAAATGTGCATCTACATTATTATTCTCTGCATTGTTAGAAATAACCAAAAGCCATTATGAAAAAGTGTCTAAAAAGATCCTACAAATTGCATCTAAATTATCCATCTCTGACATTATTAGAAATAATTTAGAGTAAACCACGTAAAACACACACACTTATAAATTGTCCAATTCTACCGTGGTTAATATATAGAAAACATAACTTTTGATATGCATGCATGGTTTGTGTCATTATTTAGACCATATATAAAATGTATGCAGGAAATGATGACCATATCGATTTTATATGTCAAACACATAGCTAAAGCTATAAGGTTTTTGTCTAAACAGATGCCAAACACATTTGGAGGTACGGTTTGATGCAAAAGAGGTAAACTGTGAATGTGGTTGGGGAAGTGTAGGGAATAACAGATAATAACCAGATATAAAAAATTATCTATTGGTATTGTGTTGGAATATGAAAAAAAAATAGAGAGAGCAAAGATACCAAAAAAAATTGATTAGCTATGGGCCCAAGTTCAGCCAAGAGCCTTCCAACACTTACACACAAACATCATAAAATTACTAGTTCATGATTACGCCTGGGTTGATGGATTAGTGCATATTATTCTTTTTATCTCAATTAGTGCATATTATTGGTACAACCCACTGGAATTCATAGGATGAATGCTCATGATGAAACACATTGTTTAGAGGACTATACCAAACAACACGAAATAGAGTTTGTAGGTTCAGGGACCGGTACGGCGCAGCAGATGCAGCAAGGCTGGATGTGTGGAGCGGGCATCATCGTGGCCTGTTGGCAACGAGACATACTCTCGTCTAAGGTTTGTGAGGAGCATATGGGTCAGTGATCAGAGATGTTAGCTAGCACAAATTAAAATGAAAAACAAACTGTTCATCGTCTATATATAGTTTGTTAAATCCAGGCATAAATTAAAATACGATCGATGCATCTTCCAAG